GGAAAAAGCTGGAGGACGAAAATGACTTCAGAAGGATGAAGGGTGCATTACTGGGTTATTAGTTTTAAATCCCACATGTGCAAGGCTTGCATTTAGTTGGTCCAGACAAAGGTTGAACTTCAAAAGTGAAGTGTACCTTCCTTATGAATAGTTGATTATATAGATTTAAAAAACATTATCTTTCCTACCTGCATAACTGACCTCAGCAAAAACCTTATGAAGTAATATATCGTCAAGAAACAACCATTTTTTTTATAGGAAGGACAAGGTAAGGTGTAACATTAAATGTATTAAGTTTATACATTTGGTGAGTTAACCCTTGTAGCGTTAGTATTACCAATATAAGGCCAATGGCGATTTTGAGAGATATTGTATAAAATCGATGTTCGTCTCGTATCAAAGTGTGCCTACATACATACCTTCACTTTTGGGTTTCAACTTCACAGCCCACACCCTCCAAAATCCATACCTTCCCTGAAGCCAAGTAGCAGATATCTCCATACTCAGTAATCATAAGAGCATGTCGGGCTTGTAACGTCATTAATACGGCTTTATCTGTCAAATGCTGCGAGACATCCTATATTAAAGAATGACTTCATTTACAACATGCCTGGGAGAAGTTGGGGAATAATTAGCTATCAGGTGTTGATGGGGCTGAGTTTATCACCTGTGTGTTATGAAAAGTCTACACAACAGTTACATTTCCCTGACTGGCATACGTGACTGACATACAGAACAGGTGTTACAAGTTCATCCTTCTACAGAGCAACTTTTTAAAGATATATACAAGCAGGTACTAGTGTATATTATTAATGACATGAAAGCCTGTGTACAGCTATGTCATGTGTTTTTTACTTGTTCCATGGATGTTCTGTTAGGCCCTACCAATTTAGTTTGTTCATCTTTCATTGGATTTAGTATCTTTAGTGTTGAGCTAGAAGAGTTGAGGGGAAAGTCAAGTTCTTGTCCCAGCCCTCTGTTTTTAATGTTATGTTAGTTTTTATGTGAAAACTTAAAGGTCTAAGAACCAAGTAATTGCCATTAATGTAAAGGTATCAGACAATTTGGCAGGATAATTAAGTGAAAGATTTGTTCAAACAGACAGAAATTGATGAATGTGATGTAACTGTTTATCATCTATGTACACATGTATTCGATACTCAATAAAGAACAGAGATGCAAAACAAAAAAAAAAAAAAAAAGAACCAAGTAAATATATTAGTATGGCCATATATAGAGACTCATACAGGTATATTGAGATATGTACATGTATAACAGAATATACGTCAAGTTCACCCATCTTTAGAGAGGCCCAGAGTCTGTAAAAACAAACGAAGGCAGTCATCTTTGTGCCATTTTATATTACTACGTGCAGTACTCAACAGAGTTTCATGTGAACTAACTTGTGGACTGCTATCTTGAGTGGGGTAGCTGACAAAGTCTACAGCAGAATGAAAAGAGCAGAGTATGCAGGATACATTTAGTGATGAAGCTGTGTTCTGTTTCAAAGTGATGTGGTTATGCAAGGCTGGCGGCATGCATCGATGCACAACATTTGCTCGAAAATATTTCATCCATAACATGTTATGGGATACTAGTATATGGATTTCTTTACTTAAACCAACTTTGCTTTTAGCTGAAAAGCTTCCATCCGGCAGCTGGTGCCTTTGATGCTTTTTCTGGGAAAAGGAAATTGGGTAAAACATTAGTCCTGAAATAAAAGGCCTTTAGGTTATGTAACATTCAGGACATTATGCTACTTTTTATGTTCTGTATCTGGGAATGGAAATTTACTAAAATGGGTACTTAGATACTTAGTGTACACGAAAGGTCTTTAGGTTATGTTGCATTCTGGACATTCTGTAGCAGCAATTCATGTTATAACATAGGTCTGAGAGATGTTCATTTCTATACATGTGATCCTTTGGGTACTGACTTTCCCCTCAACTCTGTTCTTCACTTGATGTTCCAGTCCAGTTTCATTTATCTAAATCATTATGGTCACAATTAAATTTTTATTTGATTTGACCGATTCTTTGGTCCTTTAGGCTATAACCTTTTCTCTTTATAAGCAGGGAGCTCTCTGCCTTTGTACTATAATAACCTGGCATTTTATCTCTCGATTGCAATTAAGATTAAGGCAGCTTCAGATACAAATGACATTTGATTCTGTGTGTGACATTAACTTCCATTACTCCTGACAAAAGAGATAAAGGGATTTACTTACTGTATAAATGTATCACAATTATGTGTTTCTTAAGGTTTTCCAGTTAATCACAACCTAGCAAGATTTTTTACAATGGAAAGTCACAAAATGTTGATTACATTCGTTCAAGAAAATCTAAGCTTTTTATAGCTAACTTAAGGTTCCGTTGAATGATTTTTACTGACTGCCATATTTCAATACATTAAATGGTAGGCTGCACATGCAGAGCCATTCCTAACAAAATCAGTGATCTCTGACATTTATTCAATTTAAAGATAAAGAAATGACCTATGCACCATTCATTGCCTCAGCCAGTCACGTATCATGGAAGAATACATTCAGGCCAATTTAATTTGTCCTCAGATTCTTGAAAATAATTGTAAGCTGGAAGATAAACATGTCCCTAACCCCGTAAACAGAAAAGCACTGCAGATGTGTTGGAGTAATTCCACTTGGCAGGTCATGCTAGATTGTTTTTCCAAAAGCCAAAATGATTTATATCGACCCCCCATCACTTACCCATCTCCTTCGGGAACCTTTGGGCAATTCCAGACCAATTATACTATAATGACCCGTCCGTATTGCATCCACTGTTCCAACCATAGGACAGAATCTAGAGAGCAATTCTCATTGTTGCAGCGAGACTCCAAAAGCCATTTTGATGAAGAAGTAAAATTTTGAAGGCTTGAATTTCTAAGGCCGATATTCGTCAAATTGATTTGGACGTGGGCAGGTGTTCCGAGAGAAAGGGCGCTACTAATCACGTTGGCCAGTAATTGTTTGGTAATTGTTTGATTTGGCCTGCTCAATTCTTTATTGATCGATGTCTCTTTTTGGAGAGTTTGAAGGATGCAGCAATTGCGGGGTACTTAAGGGCACCATATGTTTTGTTTTTAAGACTGTTTAATGGGTGGGCGGGAAATACACACCTTGTTTCTTGAAGATGCTATACACGAGATGTCATAAGTAAGTAAGACAGATTTTGACATGAAGTACAGTAAGGTGGATGGCATCTTGTTATTCAGGCTCTCCATGTAAAATTACTTCATTCATGCTTGAGACTTTTGTAATTTATCTTTTCCACCCAGGTCTGTTATGCCTTTGTTCTGATATAATGTCAATCCTATTCTAACACATCAAACAACTTCCCCCACCCAATTCCCTGTATATCTAATGCCAATCTTTCATTCAAAACTATCTAATGAAGATGCCTACACTGTATGTTTCAATGATATACAGTGGCAAGTAGTCATGTACATGTAACTGATACCAGTGATTTGCAGGAACTGAATTTCAAAGTTTACATGCAAACCATATATCCTCAGAAATCCCATTTAGTTTTCTCTTCCTTATACCATAATATTTATGTCCAACATTTCCTGATTATTTATGTTTTCTTTGTAATATTGAAATGTTTGATAGATTATCCTAATTTTCGCTTCCTTCCAGTGTCTGTCTGTGCTCCCATCAGTCAACGTAAAAAGTCCTGTACTGGCATGCACAGTAATTTTCCTGGAGCAGCACCGATGGTAATAAAACCCTCAGTTGTAAAGCATCTTCTTGAAACTTGTCTGCTGTTACTCAAATGCTGTGACTACTGTCTATGCTCTATAGATGGTACAAAAAGCACCTTGCTTCCTCTCATTTGAGGATGATTGCTTTGTCTTACCTTATAGATACTAGGGTAACACCTATTAGTTACTAGTATCAATCACTAATGACTATCGAAATATGATATTCCTTATACCAGGCTTGTATGAAACCCAATGGCATAGCACAGGCAGTAGCTTATACATTGTATATCATACCATAATGACATTGCAGACTGAAGTCCAGTATATCTATAGCTAGCTCGAGGTGGTTTCATATATTACATTATGAACCAATGTTATACCTGTCCATGGTGCTGAATAACATTCCCATCAACTTTCCAATGGAGTCAAGTATTGCTTTTGGCTTATCTGTGTATGTAAAAACTTGGATCTATATGCTCTTCCTAAAGCTGAGTGTATCAAGGTACAGAATATTTCTTCCAATTGTTTATCATGTACATGTCTTTTACATAAAGCTAGTAAGATGTTGTTTGTTTTCAATCCGAGAACCAACAAAATGAACTTGGTTTGACATCCTGAAGCATTATCTTCACCCTAACCCATTATGGTTTGCGGTGCCAAGCCCCTGGACAATTAGACTCCCATCCAGAGTCTGCAACACCAATTTGCAGACCTCCTCAGGTCCTGACCTTCTGCAAAACATTATCTCAGAAGGTCGTGGACTTCTCGATCTCCCGATAGGGCTGGTTTAGTGGGAAACAGACCTAAGTAGCTAGGACGAAGCCACTGCTGTGCATCTGTGTTCTATTGACTTGGCTGGTGTCATGGTGTAGGCATGCAGGGCCAAACCTGTCTTGTTTTTGTTCCTTTCATACAGTGAAAATTAAATCAAGGAACAGGCTGTAACTGTCACAGCAAATGGTTGTGTTCAGCACCTATAACAACTTTGAAACCCAGCCATTCTAACCCCAACTGTTGTTGAAAGCTTTCTAAAAGGATTTTTTGCCTCAAAAAAGAGGCTCTTACTGCATATAATGATATTTCATGTTGCTGTAGATTGTAGAAGGATTATGAAGAGTTCAAGGACAAAGTAGACCAACAAATTTAATATTGATGGCAAATGCATCTTGTCATTACAGATACATTGTATTTCCTGCTTCAGTTCTTCTACTCCACAACTCTTGTCTTTGCTACTACAGTTTCTCATGACTCAAACTGGTTCTTGACTTATTCCCCTGCAGGTGTTGTGTGCTAAGGAGAAAGGAATTTATACATCAAGGATCCCCCCGTGTCTCCAAGGTTAGAACGCTCCTCCCCGGGAAGAGGTCGTCCGGGGTGAAGTTCACTTTCAGGTGAGTGGAGGATTCTTATGAGATATGGGTAATTTTCATTTTGCCAACGAAGCACATCCAGCGCGGCTGCCAACTTGGAAAGGTTAACGCTTCACGCTTGGAGAAGCAAGTTCAGAAGGTGGTCTAAAAATGGGATGCATGACGTCAGTTTGAGTATGCATAAAGATCGGTTGCAGGGCTTATGCCAGCTTTAAATTTTCCTTCTGACATCCCAATTTCGCATGCCTGGGAAAATCCTATCTGGAAGAATTTTTATTGAAAGTAATGTAATGTGCCTAATAAGGATTTTTTGGTTTGGAAACTTATCATAAAAAGATCAAAGGTCTATACATATTCAATGTGTATACTTTATATGTATACTTTATATATAACTTATATATATTAGACACTTTATATGTCTTTATTTGCTAAATCACGCCCAAAGGGTAACTGCTTTTAAAGAGTCAAATATACTATATGGTGCAATACATTAATAAGGAACAGACAAGTACTGTCTAGACACTTTATTATACAACTTAGAAACGAATATTTCCAATGCCCTGATTTATAAGGAAGAGTCATAAAATTGCTCACAGCTGACCACAAACACTGATCAGTTCCACTGCAAGCAAAGACCCAGTCCCCGCGAGAATAAGAATATTCATACCTGCTGACCTCTCACAATATCAGACAGTTTCTCAGCGTGTGACGTATTGAGAGCACAGATCAGTACACGTACTGTGATGTATCACTGGGCATTGACACAGAAAAAAGAAAGTCTTCAACAATTGACAAAGATCGATGTTCCTCGCGGACCGTAACGTGAGGCTGACAAAGTGATTGCGTTCTTAAGAGTGTATGTAATTCCACTCAATCGTAATTGGGACGCTCAATCTTAATGCGGTCTGCTCCGATAATAATGAAACATCCCCAGTCGCTTATCCACAGGCAGGTTGCAGTGCATCAGTTGCATCACCCTGCAGTAGAGGGAAGGCTGCTCCAGAGTTCACCCCGATCACAGCCCAGACAAGTACGCTTCCACAAGGTCTAGGACATCTAAGACAGACTTTTCCACGCGTCTGGCATCACGGCATAGACAAGTACGTTTCCAGAAGGTCTAGGACGACAGACTTGTCCAAGCGTCTGGCATCTTTCTCCAACCTGCTTCTGGTGGACTGGTAAGGTTACTGTATTTAGGATATTAATTACTTGTTATTTGTTTGTGGTGTGTCTCGTCTGCATGGTTTGAGAGCTGTTTTGGCTGGTGATGGATCTAGACCAAAATACGTCGAGGCTCGAGATACTTTTTTTTGCAATTGTAGATCACCTTCAGCAGTTTAATGATGCCTGCAGTCAGATTTTAGAAACGACAGATCAAGCTGGTAAGTGTTCAAAAACCATTTTAATCATCGAGTTAGCATTTCACAGGTGTGTACCATTTGTATACCCTGTAAAATGCAGGTCCAGGTAGACAACAGAAATACATTTTGTACTTTCATAACACCATTTCTACCTGTTCCAACCTGCATTCATGTATGGAGGTAGTAATTTGAGCCCTGCACATGCTTATATCTAATAATTTACATGTTGTGATGTCTACTTAAGGTTGTGGATTAACTAAATTTGTCACGGGCAGCTGTACTTGTTTATATGTTCCCTTTCATTCTGAATTTTCAAAGGTTGTATGACTATATGGTAGTATTACATTTGTGGATTGTATGCCTGATGCTTTTAATGGTAGTATTACAGTTATACAAATGTACATACATGTGGCTTACATTTAAGTTGGACTTTGCCATATCGTGACGTCTGAGAGTATTATGGGGTAGTTATATTCCTCAGTGCTGCAGCAGTTTTGTAAGTTTTGCTATATGTGCCAATCCCCGACTAAAGAAAATCCCGCTAGGCAGGATTCTGTTGGAATTAGCTGTCAACTCAATCACCTAGATGGCCCTGTTTGAATTATTGGCCACTTTCAAACCATATAAAGCTAGGCTCAGACTAGTCAAACAAGATTGTAGATATAAGTTCTGTATGAAAAAATTGTAAACTAGTGATGTTCTTACATGTTACATTATTCAGTCTTGTTAAAAATGCCCGCACTTGCCTTAACAACCTTCTCAGCAGGTTACCTCGTTTGTAGAACCTCAAGGCAAGCCATAGTATCATGGGATTTATCTGTATGGTCCATCTAATAGATACAAATGTGCAATTTCTAAAAACCCTACCTGCATCCAGTGTGATATCTCTCCCTATAGAATGCCCATTTCTTGGAACCAACAGTGCAATTTCGAGCACACTTTTCCATGGACGTCGTTAAGCCTAATTCCAGATTCAGCCGACCGGAATGCGGGGATTTTATGATTTACCCGGCAAAATCTCAAAAGATGCCATTACTGGTCATTAAAGACCAGTCAACGTGCAAGGATTTCCCCAGGTCAAGAGGTGGGTCGCTCGGATGGCTTAAATTCCAATCGCCGCAATAAGACCGTACATAAATAGACCCTTAACCAAGTTTGAATCTTTCCATCGTAATCTTCTTTACTTCAATGAATGTAGCAATAGATGGTTTACATGTCCTTGAGTGATCTAACAGGATATAATGCAACAAAGTTGTACCTATTTAAAGTGTTAGTTGGGATGTAGCATTTTGTATGGTTTGCCCAGTCGGGTGCATTCAGTATGAATTTGATGATGTAGCATAGTTGTTTGCTTTAAAGTGTGGGGATCCAACTACATTGCACTACTTTTTCCTTCATTCTTGCACTGGTGCAGGTAACATAAAGTTAGATACTACAGCACATTCATGTAGAGATGTGACCATAACTATTCTGTGAAACATGACCATGGTGTAAGGCTATATAGTCAGCACCAGCCAGACCAGATCTGTCATCAATACAGTTGTGGGCTGGTCATGCCACTGTCTACTCAGTTGTTCCCAGCCATCATTGCAGCCCAAGGTTTCTGATCCCTGTGTTTACAGCACATGTGTGTAAACAGAGCAGGAGATCAAAAGTTATGCATGTTCATGAAGGTACGAAGTACATAGTAGTAAAGTAAGACCAATTCATTTGTTGAGTTCTCAGGCACCTCTAGCAAAAAGATACAGTATTAAAAGAGGGTTGAGAGAAAAATTTGAGTCAGACTATATTCACTCCCTGAAACTGTGCATACCAAGGCATAAGCCTGGCCTTGGGCTATGTTTTCATGTCGTTGTTTTTTAAATCATTAATTCTGAGAACCCACAAATTGGATTGGTGTAGCCTTGAGATTGTTTTGTAGAGTAAATACAATCTGCAGCCAAAAAAAGAAAGAACAGTGTGGGAATGACACACTTCAGTAAAGGAGTGACGAAGTTCATTGCCACTGTGATGAAAGACCTGATTGTAAATTTAATACTACTGCATGCCTTGCATACATACATATATGGCAAGGTAGCATCTGTTGGTATGTATACAGATACCATTACTGGAGAGACTCAGTGGCTGTCTGGGAAGTTAGAGATCTAAGTTAACGAAGGTAGCCTATTAGTTGTAACAGACTGTGTAGTTGGTAGGTAGAGGAATCAAAGCTAACAGTCTTTTTTTTTCCTTTCCTGCAGGGTGCATGGAATTAGTGTTGTAGTCAGTCCAATGGAATGTGTAGGGATTAGCCTAGTGTAGTGATCCTGATGGATTATGTGGTGTTGAGAGAAAAGTCCGGGCTGGTGATCACGCATAGAATTTAGACTTGGTACAGCATTTAATGATCACCGGGTTTAATCCATAGCCTCCACCAGATGGTTTTGGTTGCTGAAAAATAGTTTTCCTAAAGGCTAAATAGGCCTTAAGGTAAATAACCTGTGAGTTGAGTTAACTAGTTACATGTAGCTATAGGGTTTTTCCAAAGTAACAATATATATAGTCTGTTTAAAGCAAATTTTCAATTGTCCTATGGCAGTCTACTTCAAAGTTCAAGTGACCAAATCATTTACCCCATTTGGCCAATTTCTACTGAGCTTTTCAGCAACTAAAGGACCATGAAAATGACAACATAATCCATAGCTTCCTGCATCAGGTGCACAGGTGTCAGTCATTACCTACAAGTCCTGCTTTGTTAGGCTAGTGTCCATCCTATCTAGCTCTGGTTCCTTCTCTGTTTAGCCTGAGAGTCAGCCTTTTTAGCTTGGGGAGCGGACAAAAGCTGAAGATGCTGACACTCAGGATATCTCTGAATCTCTGATTGCTTCCCTGCTGAATTATAACTACTGAATTAGTCTGGAACTTGTCCATGTAAATGTTAGCATTGATTATTTTGGGACCAAATATTTTTTTACAATCACCTGAATACCTGACAAGTTCATAACCCCATTGCCATAACGCAACAGAGGACCGTCAGAGCCAATCAGAGCCCTTGCATTTTTTTCAATATGAATATTTAGATGTGCCAAGTTGAATTCTTCCTTTTTGTCTTAAGTGACAAAGTGTTACACAACTCACCTCCTGGGTGAAAACTCAAAGAAGAACCCAACTTATATCAATTGTCCCAAAGAGACCAATTATCAGGCTAACAAATTAAAGCAGATTCCACGTGCTTGGTTATCAGTACAGCACAGAATTACATGCTGAAATTAGCATTGTGGGGTGAGAGTATTAAAGTGGCTTTAAAACCTCAAATAGATGCTGCAATTTGGGAAGTGCAGAAAGTCAGTTGCCGATCTAAAGATGAAGGTATGAATGACTATACGTGGAAAGCTTTCAAGATCTCTGTCATCATATCATCCAAAGAATTGTATGGCAAGAGCCATTTTGGTGACCACTTTCTAGAAGGATTTCAGAATTGAGTGAATCGAATCATCTTGGATGTATATGAAAAGTAACTGACTGTCAGAAGCAGTCATCATCATAGACTACCCGGTAATATCAATTGCAGAAAATTGTTTCAGTGACATGACAGATCACCAGGTACCGCTACTGTCTTTGAGGCATCACATGATGTGGGTGGAAACTAATGGTTATGTGACAACAGAGAGATGTTTTGACATAAAAATTAGCATTCGTGGCTTTGATGCATAGCTATGCTGGTTCCATTGTCGATTTAGGTGAAACATTTGCATTTTAGTGTGTCATTGTAAACCATGGGAAGTCAAAGTTGGGATTATGATGTGAGGTGGTGGTTTTGAAGTAGGGGACTATGGGAAAGGCAAGCACGTCGGCAGAACGTACTGCACCTGCGCGAAACCCGTAATGTATTGTACATAGCATTTTGGCAGAATGACTCATATAAGGTCATATTCGCTCATGTAAGGTTAGCATTTCGACAGTAGTTTCCAAATGTTGTGTCGGAAAGAATATCCTCTGCAACATGCAAAATTCTGATGCAACGTTGACCAAAAACCCAACGAAAAACGCGAAAATACGGGGTTCTGCGCAGGCGCAGTACGTTCTGCTGACGTGCTGGAAAGGCAGGAGAAAGACTAGGTTGAGAGGGAAATGGGGCAGTTTTTGGCCACACCTACTTGACTCAAAGTTCTCATCAAGTTAATTGTGTTCAAATTTGTAGCTTTAAGGGCACTTCTTGTCCTCTTTCAATTTTTTTACTTTAAATGCCTACCTGTAAAAACCAAGGATATTACATAGTGTGGCCTTGCCTTTGATTTCTGAGAATTGATGGCTCAAAGTAGATAGCCATGCTATAGCCAGTAGACAGACATTTAGTCTGAAAGGGTCAAATGTGTCAAACTTTAGGACAAAAAACACTTTCATTGCGTAAATTTGTATGCAAGGTTCATATTTTGAGGAAGTTCAAGGTTAACTTAACAATTTCTGACAATCTTTCAAGTTTATATCACATTAGATGGCACCATATTACATTACATTGCTGCATCTCAGATTATAGTTCAGATAAAAATTCAATCTACATTGATTTTTGCTCTTCGTCCAGTGTTTTTTTTCCAATTAGGGCCAAATGAGAATGAAGGAAAAACAATCTTGGAGAAGTGGAAGTGGAAAATTAGTAATAATGTCATTTGATGGTGAGGAGGTAAAATATATATTATACTATTATAATAAAAATATTGTCTATCACCTAAATCTTATACTTCTAATTTATACAACATTGGGGGGTTGTTAAATGCTAATGTCACATCAATTCTCTTAACAACCTCTCAAGAATCAAAAGTTTCCGATAAAAATGTTAC